GGACTGATTTTCTAGGTGAGTATTGATAATAACAAATCAAAACTATAAAAAAAAAGAAACATATGAAAGCTTATATTAAGAACAAGATTCTAAATAAGATTTTTGCATGTTCTCCACAGAATATTTACTTCTTAACCATTTGTGAACAAATGAGATTGCTCATTTTCAGTGTAGTTACATTGTCTGTTTTCTTCCTTGTATTTACACAAATTTCGTGGTGTTCTACCAAGACACACAGTTGGCAAAAATCACCACTGCCTCCAAAAAAAGTAGTTTTGCACTGTCACCATCTTCTTGCTCCCTCTTCCATGTTATCCATTCTTGGGCAAGCATGGGTGGTATGGTTAACTGGAAATACTCAGATAAATCAGGGTTTTTTCCTCTCACTAGTTTTAATCTGGGTTAATTTCCCAGTGCAGTTCATTGCCCAACACACAAATATTTAGGCCACCTAAGGCACAAGACAGGGAAGGGAACAGAGTAGGAGGAAGCTGAGGCTGCTTCTTTCAGTGGCAATGCTGCCCTAGCTGGCCATACCTTATGGCATATAAGGTATCACCAAAATCAAACATGCTTATCCCAAAACATCCTGTAAGCATGCTCAAAAAGGACAGAATAAACTCCCTGAACAACTGATACTGCAGATCACCACTGCAATTGTTGTGCACATCAGCCACATCTGCCACATCAAAGACACAACAGCTGGTACATCTGAAAACGCACAAGATGTGTTCCCCATCCTCCCACCCGGGTCTCCATTTTTCCAACACATAGCAGCAATTGTTAGCATTTTTCCATCCAGTATAGATAGTTCCAGGTTACTGCAAATCAGTAACTGGAATAATTTATGAAACTTTGCCATTCTGATGAGTTAGATCCATCTCGAATACATTGGAATTGATACAGATTAGATGTTAACATTGTTTTGTATCTTGTTGGAATACATTTTTTGAGGCAGTAGTGTCAAGTAGAACAGGCAACTTTTTTATCCTGTATGCAATAATAGGCTTCCTGCTTGTAACTTAACAAAATCTGACTTTGCTGATATACTAATATAGATTTAATTAGCTCGGTCTAGCTAAAACCTTAAGATGTGTGTAATGACCACCCAGTGTTTAACTCACACTAGGATTGTGAATGAAAGCTACTACAGAAGAAATTTCCAAATGACCTCTACTAATTTTCCTCAAAATGGCAAAACATCCATCCAGCCTCCATTTTTTGTAAACTTATCATTAGCATCTGCATACAAATATAAGTATCACTGCGTTTTGTGGACACAGAGTTCAAAACTTCCATATTTGGGAGTTAGAGCTATGAACTGGTCACTTAAATTCTGCAATGACTGACTAATCTGGATTGCCATTACTTAACTTCCACTGATCCTATTATGGATTTTAAGATGTGAATGCCATGCTGATCAGAATTATGCAACCCAACCTCCATAATACAACTATATATAATTCTTCTGCCACAGACTCAGTCCTGCTACACTCCATGTCCACCCCCGACCACTTCTTTCATCAGAGACATTCATAGACACACATGAAGCCATTTCAAGGAATGATGAATAAGCAGATTGGGACAAATGTACACTGGTTCTACATTCAGTTATAGCATATGAGAAATGTTTTAGTCCTACTTCTTCAAGTAAATATATTTTGTAACACAGAGCTGACTGCTGCCTCATCATAATTACTCCTGGTTAACTGAGCATTTTCAACTCCAATGCTAGTCACAAAAGCCGATGCTTATATGGGATGCATATATGTGTGAAAATTACTAAAATACAGAAATTCAGAATGCATACTGTTTCACTTAGATACACTTCTTGTATGTTATATGGCTTCCTAATAACATACATTGCCTTCATTCTGCTTCAGCAGTAACTGTTGCCTCCCCATTTCTCATTTCAAAGTCCACAGTTGTCAAAATGTTAGAGCAGAGCAATGGTATTGACATATAAACTAGTTTTGCTAAAGTGAAGCTAAAGAGGCATTGGATATGGGAAAACAGCAAATGCAATGTAAAAAATCGTTATTTTTAACCATATTTGACTTATTCCATACTGGGCATATCTTGTCTCTAGCTAAGGAGTCACCTCTGTACCTACACCAAAAAGTGAGTACGCTTCAGCAGCTCCAGTGAAAACTCCCAGAAATTTTTCTTTTTAGAGGTAACTTTTCCAGGTCATAGAGAGGAAGACTAGATTTCAACTCAGGACATTTAAATTGTACAGTTTGTAACAAGAGAAAGAAAAGAGGTACAGATGTACAGAGAAAGACAAGGCCCCAAAACATGTGGTGCTTGGGACACAAAGTAGTCATTTGTCTGAGGTTTCTGAATATGAGGTTTCTGACACATATGCCTAACCCACTTCTGCCTTGTTTGCACAGGCAGGGTTTACATGTACTTCTGAAATGAACACTTGCACTGAAAACACCTGATCATTTAATTCTGCTCAAAAAAATCAAACCTGGAAAGCCCCAAACCTTTGGTCAGCAAAAGAACACCAGTACTCCAGGATTGTGTTCTTCAGCCTTTCTAACCTGGGCAGAGGTAAACAAACAAACAGAATTTCAAAATCGAGAAGCAGACCAGTGCAGATTTTCTGTCATCTTCATGATATTCAGATGAAGTGAGAGAAACTGCTTGCAAGACCTCTGACTCATGCAGAGCCATACTGCACCATGACACTGCTTGCAGAAGTCAAAGAGCTACCATAGGCAAAGAAGCTGTGGGTCCTTCTCCCCTTACCTCCTCCACACAGACAAATAAAAGTCACAAGATGAGTTCACATTTTTAGTTGACCACCGAATACACATTCTGTTCTTAATAAAGACACTCATGAAAACCTTAAGGAGACTGAAATGATTTGAAATTATTTGTGGTATATTACAAAGCAGCTCATTTTATTGAACTGCCACTATGAAAATATTTTTCACATTGAATATATTTAAAGAATTAAAATAAAAAAGGCACAACTAGATTAATGATCTTTTTGTCATCATCATGTCTCATTCTTCAGGTGCAGTGAATAGAGCTATACCACCATCTGACAAACTGAACTGATTCTTGAGCATTCTTGTACAGGATCACATTAATCAACTTATCTTAATCAAAACATCAACTTACTGAATGTTAAATATTTCAACTTTGAAGACAGAAGAAAATCAGAAATAAATTTACAGGATCTTTATCAGAGAAAGCACAATAGCAGTTTAGTGTAATTGTTCCATTATGTTTATGGTAGAACCCTTTTATAGAAACATGGAATTTCAATCCATAGGAATATTGTAATGAACATAAACCATCTAGAAATGCAACGTGCCTTTTCTTGCCTGCTATGCAAGATAAAAATAGACTGATGTTTAAAATGCTCTAACACCCTGCAAAATAAAAACCTGACTGAAACTGTATATGTTTAGTGAAAACGAACAATTTCCTTAACAAATACCCTTCAGAAATGCAATACTGCCCTGCTTCTGTGCATTCAAACAGATGCTGCAAGTTTATAGTCTGGCCTTCAATGATGTGAGGCACTCCAGGTTCCCTTGATTTCCCATGTTCCTGGTTCTCCCTTCCTTGGGAAAAACAGTAGTGTGGGAATCAGAGACATTATTATTACCAGGGGATCTTGCCCCATCTTTTTCAAACAGAAAGACAGAACACTCATTGCCATTCCTACGGCACCACCACAACTGGGAAAAAAATCCCCCAGTTACATGAAGAAACGAAATGAGATTACAGTTGACAGAGAAGGCTCTGAGAGCAGCTGTGAAAAGGCGAGGAAGAAGACAAGAAGCTGGGAAAAACAAATGCGCATTAGGAAAGTGATGTCTCTTACAGTAGCACTACTGGTTTTGGTTCTCCATGAATTTTGGACAATGAAATATATCAGCTGGAAAGTATACATACAAAGACTAAGCAGGAAGAAATCAAAATCCAACTGACAAACAAAACCACAGTATAATCCTTTATTATAGCCTAATTTACTTGATGGTCTGACTCATGATTTTTGAGTCCTGGGGGTTTGCAGCACTGCTCCACTATTTCATCAGATCAAGCAGCACATTTACCATGTAAGTTCCTGAAAAGGGATTTGGATTTGGTTGCTGCTGCTTCTTGATTTCACTGCATTACCTGGATCAAATATGAATGCTTCCATTTCGGTGTGCGTTTAGAAAAAGGACAACTCAGTTTACACGCACCCTCCCGCGCCGCCACCCACTAAGAACCGCAGATTTATAGAGTTAAGGAAATAATTACAAAAAGGGCCCCGCTTTTCCACATCTTCGGCGGGGTACATTGGCAACAGCCTCACATGGCATCACTTAAAGTAGCGCAGACCCAGGTCACCGTGACCACTGCTCCTGTTCGCCAGTCCCGCCGCGCAGCCTTCCGGCGGGACGGGGGAGCCGAGGGCGGGCGCTCCGGGGGGAGAGGCCGCTGGCAGCTCCCAGGCAGGGGATCCTGCTTCACCAGACTCCCGCGCTCCCGAGAGACACCTGCACTCAGCCGCTGAGTTCACTTCGTCTTAAAAAAGTAGTAAAAGAGTGGGAGCTCAGCCCACGGGCGGAGAACGCAGCGCTCAGCCGCGCCCGCCCCGAGCCCCCCGCCGCTGCAGGCGGACGGACCGGGCCCCTCGCCGCCGGCGGCCCACTCCCTCACATCACTTCCCGGGATGCCCTCTCCGGCCCACAGCGGCGGCCCGGGGGCTCTGCGCGGGCCCGCACCGTGCCCAGCCCACCGGCCGCGCTGTCGCTGCGCCCCCGCCCCAGCCCAGGGCCGGCGAGACCCGGGAGCGGCGGCCCCGCGCCCCCCGACCAGGAAGGAGTGGCGGCGGGGCAGCCGCGTATCCCTCCGCGGCGCCGTGCGTGCGTGTGTAGCGGCGGCGGCGGCTCCGCGGGCCGCGCGTGAGGCAGAGCCGGGGGGAGGGAACTACTTTCAGGAAACTCGGGCGCCGGGCAGCGCCGGGCGCCGGGGGGAAGGCGGTGGCGCGGGCCCGTCCGCCGGCGGGCGCAGGTCAAGGGGATTACTTTGCTCCCCTTGCTCTTCTCTCCGTTCTCCCGCCTCCCTTTCCCCCGTGGTTATTTTGGATCAAGCTGTGGCGGCGGAAGGAGCCTGAAGTCAACGCTTCCGCCCAGTTTTCCTGTGAGGAGGAGGCGGGGGCGGCCGCGAGGAGCCGAGGCGGCGGCAGCGGCCGCTAATGGAGTTACTGCTGGGGAGGAAGCGCCGCCGCTGAACTTCCCTGCGGGCTTTCTCCCTCTTCTCCCCCTCGTCCTGCGGCCGGGGGCTCCTCTCTCGCCCTGGCAGCTCCGCTCCCCCTCCCTCCCCGCGCCTCTCCTCACACAAACAGCCGTGACGCATCCTCGTTCTCCGCCGTCCCCCCCCTTCCCACCCCCAGGCTGGTTTAAAACGCCTCCCTCCCCCCGTCACCAGCCTTCTCCTTGGGGCCGGCGCGTCTTCCCTCCGCAGTGGTCGGCGTCGCTTTGGAGGGGGTGGGAGAGCCCCGTCGAGCGTCTCTACCCCCCTTTTCCCGTCCCCCCCCCTTCCTTCCCCGCCTGTCCCGGCCTGTGGCAGCTCCGGTGTCTGGAGGAATTTGTGCCGCCGCCTGCCCCGGCTGTGCGCGGGAGGCGGGCGGGCAGGGAGGGAGGCGGCCGAGCAGCAGGAGGAGGAGAAGGAGGAGGAGGGCAGCAGCGAAGGCGGCTGCAGCGGGAGATGAGCTGCAGCGGGAGGACGGTGCGGTGCAGCTTTTTGCGGCAGGAATCCGTCCCTTGTCTCTACAACTCTGTCCCCCTTTAACCGGGAGCAGCTCGAGAACAGAAGATCCGTGGTTGTTGCTGCTGTTAGCACCACTACCTTCACCACCACCATCATCACCTTTTAAGATAAGGGAAATACGCTGCACCGCCGGACAACAGGATTTCGCGTTTCCAGGATAAAGACCGCTCTCCTCCCCCTTTTCCCTTCTTCTCCCTCACTTCACCGCACGGCCCGTGCCCTGGCCGGGGGCGGCGGACCGGGGGGGTAACAATGGTGAAGTTTCTGGTGAGTTCTGGCTGCGCCCTGGCTGCGTCGGTGCTGCTCCGTGTGCCTGTCGGATCGTGGTGAGGAGAAAATGAGCGAAGAGACGGCGACTTCTAACAACGAGTAAGTGGCCGTGCCCTCACCTCCCCTCCGCCTCGGGATGGGGATGGGGCTGGGGCTCGGCGCGTCCCTTCGGCTCTGCGCCCCGCGGGGCCTTTGCCCGCGCACGTACGTGTCCTGTCCTACCCCTGCGCGGACTGCGCATTGCTGCTCGCGTTCATGGAAGCCCAGAAGCTCCCTCTTTGTGAAGGAGCTTAGTTTGGAAGGGCTGCGAGCCGGCGGCCAGAAAAGCTTGGTTTAGTTAAAGCCCGATAGAAAACGGTGCAGATAACGATGGTGTCTTGGAGCGGGAGGATGGGTTTAGTATGCCCAGAGAGGTATCAGCACGTACCATCTCTGATAATATCCTATTACTTGTAGATATTTCACATGGAAACTAGTGTGTGGGAGCTTCATCCTGCAGGAAACTGCTCCTGAATTTTAATTGGATGAGTCAGCCAGTGTAAATACAGCTTAAACCTACCCTAAAGCTCTTTTTTTTTCTTTTAATGAGCACTTGTGACTTTTTTTTTTTTATTTCTCCTCAGAGAGAAAAGGGACAGTTCAAGGATCTCTTAATATTTTTACTGTGAGGGGTTTGAAGGCAATCCAGAGGAGATTGTGTGTGTGTGCGGCTGTATCCCCTTGAATGTAATCTGTCTTTGAAATACATTTTCGGTCGGAGGCGATAAATATTTGTCAGAAAACATCCGAGTTCTTTATGGCATTGAAAAAGGAATATGAAGTATTTTGAAACTTTTCCTGTGATCGGGAAGTTTAGAGTTGATTGCTGCGGTCTCCGAGCCGTAGCGTTACGATTTGCGATGTCGGGGTTTGCTCGGGCTGATTTTATGAATGATGCGGTGACTGCCGCGGCCATGGCGGTGGAGAGGGAGCGCTGCGCCTGTTGTGTCTGGGGGTAGCGATGAGGGGCAGGGGAGCAGCCGGGCTGCCAGACAGGGTGCGGACGGGGCTCCGCCGGCAGGAAAAAAGGATTTCCCATTTCACTGCCTCCCTCCAGGCAAAGCCTGCACACCTTCCCGTGCGCTCCCCCGAAGAGGCGTTCGGGTCCCCGGGGAGTAGCGCGGGCCGAGCCCCGCGGGGAGCGGGGCCCAGCGGGACGGGGCTCGGGGCGCTGCCGCCCGCGGCGCTGAGCGGGCCGAGGGGAGCCGGGCCGGGGCAGCCGCCGCGCCGCCCGCGGGGCCGGAGCCGGGGCCGCCGCCGCCATGTTTCCTTTTTTGTGAATCGCTCTCATTTGCATACCACAATCTCCATTCATAAAAAAAAAAAAATTACAGAAAAAGAATTGCTGTCACCACCGCTGACCTGCGGCGGAACCTGCCCTGCGGAGCGCCCGGAGCGGATGCTCCCGCGCCGAGGGCCAGCCTGCGGCCCGCGGCCGGCGGCGGAAGGTCTCCAGGACCTGCTGTATTAATATGTGCTGTTCGCTGCTTGTTGACACAGTTATGTGGGAAATATCAGCTCGGGGAGGTGCTGGGAGCACGTGATCCGCTCCATTCATAAAATACCTGGCTGTCCATTCACAGTGCAGTACAGTGTCTGCATTCAGCAGCCTCGCAGATCAGACCTGCATGGGAAGGGAGAGGCAGCCAGGCCGGCAGGTTTATCGGAGAAGGCAACAGAAAGAGGGCCTATGGCTGCGAGCACGGGAAGTCACTGTAGAAGGGGCTGTAGGGGGGACGAGAAGGCTTATTTTTATAGTTTAAGTTTGTCCTTTTCCTATAAAGGACCATTAATTCAGAAGTGCCTTCTCGCTGTATCATCTAAGCTAGGAAGAGTTATATTCAGAAAATGTTGAAATATTTTCCGCTCCAGAAATATTGACCCAAAAATAGAATGCTGAAATTCAAATTCGTTATTATTAACACGCTTTGAAAACAGTATATTAATCCATTTGGAGTAATTTACATTTTATTGAACAATACCGTCTTAGATATGCAAAATATCAACCTGGTGCAGAAGGGAGTCAGTCATACCTAATGAGGCATCTGAAAATGTTGCCCATCGTAAAATACAAGTGACAGTGAAGACAACTAAATTGATAGAAATCAGCACTGCGGTTCATTTTTGTCTACTTTGAGAATTTTACAGCAGATTAGCAGTCATTATTTCTTCTTAATCTGTGCCATGGCTAAAGAGACCTCTGAAATATCAGAATACAGGAAATGTTTTTATTATGGCATAAATTGTTTAGAGGTCAGTGTCTTAACTTTGATTTTAAATATATTGAAAATTAAAAAGATAATAAAATTGAATGAAATTTACTGCTGAAGAATCCCTAAAGCAGACAATATATTTGTTTGATGTAACTGTTTTGTGGTTGCAAGTGTTAAAATGGTGATGTTCGTTGCTCACGAGTACCTATTTCATTAGCCTAACAAATTACACTGAGGTGATCCTTAATTATACATTCATGGAGTGGAGGAGGCCTGTTGTTACCGCAGCCTAAGAGACTACCTGAAATATTACTAACCTTTACTTAATATGAGAAAGGAAAGCTCACATACAGTATTTGGTTTGAGTTTATTCAGTTATAGAACTGAATGTGTATAGTCTTACAAAGCACTGTAAACAGTGATTTTTCTCAAAGAATAGATTTTTATTCTTTTTTACTTCGGTTATTAGAATTTCAGAAGAAAAATAAAAAGTGTTTCTCAGTTGCTCTGCTTTTTTTGACAGCATTTTTGGTGAGGCCAGAATTGTTATTTCTCTCTTGTTCCTTTTACACACAGTACAAGCATGTCACTTTAAATGGCTGGGAAATTCGATTGAAACACCAGATAAACCATTTGTGAAAACAGGACAGATCCACAAATGGAAATTGATCATATATTCAAAATTCACTCTGTTTAATTTTATCAGTATCATTGATGATATCAATGGCCTTGAGCTTATTAACAGATCTTTTCTCATATAAGAGTGAATACGAGTACTTTGCAATGCATTTTGTGTCATTGTGACTATAGCAAGTATTCTGGTAATTGAGTGTTATTTGTTTATAAAACTTCATTTTATGGAGTAAGATATAAATATTTGTGGTGTCTAGAGTTTGACCTCAGTTAATGATGTTAAATTCTCAGTGGTGGTGGGAAAGATTAATTAAAAAGCTGCATTAAGGACTACAGGTTCCTTCTCGACCATGAACATATGGAAGGCAGCCTTATAAAATTCTCATTGCTACAAAATGAGTCTTCGTTGGTGACTTTTACATTGTTCTTACAATGATGTTATTGTATTTGTCGGATGGTGTTACGTGGAAGTGTTTCTATACTTCCAGATAATTTTAGTCTTTTTCCCCTCAGTGGTGTTTTGCAGTCCGTGTGGACAGCATCAACGCAGTGTGTTCACAAATACTATCAGTTTTTCAATTAAGGAATTTGTAGATTTGTGGACTCACGGGTTGATTTGCTATTCATGCAACTTAACATAATGTCAAAGCAGGGAGGTCAGTGAGCACTGTACCAAATTCCTGTTTTGGTGGCAGATTTTATTGCTGAATAGAAATACTACTGAATTCAGTGTTAGGTACAACAGAATAATTATGTTGTGTAGTCCCCATTCAGTAGGGATGAATGATGACAGGCTTAAGATGGAGTCTGAGTTGTTGCTGTTGAAAAGTGGGAACACTGCTTTACTGGCTTGTTTACCTTCCTCTGTATTGCAGGTGGCCACTTTCTTGTGCTCTTGAATTGTATTCAGAGGTGCTTTTACATACTGTATTTTTACAGATTCAGACTGTCATATGCTAATTGTTTTACCGCATAAATACGGTTAATCTTATACTCATTTTCCTAGATAATTTAATAAAGAGATTATAAATTAGATAGAGTATATAGTAATGCTGTGTGCTTAACAGCCTCTAGATTACGAAGCTATAAACATCTTCAAGTGTTGATTTGAAAAGTAAAGCTAAACTATATTTTTAAATAAGGTACTTGATTATGTTTTCCTTCAGTATATATGAAAATCCTGTTTGTACTTCATTTGTGATTCAGAATTGGGTTGAATCTGTATTACAAGCTAAGATACTGAAAGATGAACATGAAATTGTATCACAAAAAGTAATGCTAATTACTTTAGGTTTATTGGTTCTGGGAGGATTTTAACACTTGTCAGCAGGCTAGTATTTTTTCTGCTGTTTGGGGCATATGTAGACTTATAAATTTTTCATCCCTTAATGAAAGGAATTTGTAAAAAGAAGTAGTTTTTTTAAAGAAAGCATCTTTTAACCCAATTGATTGTATTAAATCTTGCAATTCTGATGTATTTTCTTTTGAGAGAATGTTTCCTTATAGAGTCCTTGGGAAGCATTTCCAGTCTTATGAATTGCTTCTTGCTGTCTGTTTGGCTTTATGTTACGTGACGCTATTTTGAAGGTGAAACTGAATTTGCATGTTACATAATCTGAGAGTCAGTTTGGTGTGGTTTTGTTGGTTTTTTTTAAAGGTTCATTCTAGCAACAATCTTTGATTACTGTGATACTGCAGAAAAATGCTTTTGGGATGTTGCAGCATAACTGGAGCCAGCAATAATATTTCAATTAAAGAATGATGAGTGTTTCCCTTGTTTGTTCATTTAAAATTCAACGCTCTTGAAGTGTTAAAGTGACAGTGAGGATGTCAGTGTGCCTTTTAAAAGTAGAGACCTTTCTTGAAAGGAATGTATCTTGACAAGATTGGAAGTCACAGGATTAAAGCTGAGGGCAATATGGTGGTTTTTAGGCTAAACACTGGCAGTTTTGTTTGTTATTTACCCATTCTTGTGTATATCTGGAGAAATTGTATGTATTGGTGATGACTTGATGGGATTACAACAAACACCGGAAATAAAAAATACTTTTCAGAGTATTGATACAAGCTTAAAAAGGAGGCAGAAGAAATAATTTTGTCTTTTTCTGGCTTTCGTTCCCCTGATTCAAAACAAGTAACTATGATAGGACATACTGTGTATGTTGTCTTAAATGCTGTTGTTCAAATGTTTAAATGTCTGCCTTCTTCCTCTTA